CATTAATCCGATCTGTACGCTTTGAATAGCAGTCTGTCAAAATGATTTTTTGAGAAATACTGAAAGTTTCAAAGAGATCTTCGCACTAGGAGCATTCTAAAAATATGTGAAGAATGCAACCCGGGGGTACAAAATGACCTCAGGGCTTACGGACAGGGTTAAGGAAGTCTGCCACAGCCACTAGAAACCTATTTTCACCAGTTATAATTCTTGTGGCTTTTTTTCTGTGTCTCATTGCCCGTCTGTTCTCTGTTCCCAGCTCTATGGCACGCACAACTTGCTTGTTCGGTTGGAGTTGTATCTGACCCAGGCTGGACTATCATTCTGTAACGATCGCACATGTTGAGTGTTCCCCGCTTTAAAACAAAATAATATCTGCACTATTTCACGCAATTCTTATCAGTTTGAATAGATGAAAAGAAAGCCACTTGGTGTTATCGTGGTTTTTGTTGGCCTCTTTAATTCACCGAGGACGCACGTTATGGCCATTCGACAGGGCTAAAAGACGTACCGTTTTTAACACTGTCAAAAAAAAAGAAACTTATCTTTCTGTTTTCTTTATCTTAAACTTAATAAGGCAGGCAACGACATGTATTCTATGAACTAGAACTATACGAATTCATGTTTCTGGTTGTGTGTGATGGCTTGAATTAATGTGTCACGACATTGCCTGTGGTCTGCGGTTGACAGGGCAAAAAAACTATCGTTATTAATTAAAGAAGCTTAATCCTCGTTATTCACACAGAGTTTAACATCATGTAGTGGCGTCGGGAAGTACTACTTATAAGATTTTACAAAAGAAGAAATGTGGTTTCTTAGGAGACTGATGAGAATATCGTGGAAGGAGAAGAACTCAAATGAGGTAGTGTTTGATGAAGCCCACGTGGGGCGCTCTAGGAAACAACAAATTAAGCAGGTTTTGGGACACCTGAATAGACGTTAGGGTCTTGAACGTCTAGCTCTTACTGGCCAGAATTGAAGGCAAACGAGGCAGGGATAGGTCCAGAGCAACCGACTTAGGGTATCTAAACAAATGAGTAACAGGGAAAGATCAAGGAAACGTAGGTTTTTTTAAGAGCATCCGAGCAAAGGAATGAATGGAGAACCATGATCGCCGATGTCTGCCACACATCTGGCACTGGATGATGGTGAGTGACGTCGGTGGCTCAGTGGTTAGGCTGCCGGACTCGTAATCGTGAGGTTGTGGGTTCGGGGGTTCGAACGACGGGCCTGACATTGTGTACTTGGGCAAGACACTTTACACGAATTTTCCTCACTTCACCCAGGTGGGAATGG